GGGTGTGAGTGTCACTTGTGAGCCACAGGATAGTGGCAGCCTGTGCTGTATCAGCTGCCCAGCCCTTCACTTTCCTTTGCAGAAAGCCACTTATTACCCCACTGCAAATAAGTGTCATCTTCACTTCTCAATTTTTTTGACTGCAGGTCCTTGTTCTTACTGTCTGGAAGGTAGCAGAGGGTGCAGCCCCGATGTCTGACGCATGCAGCGTGGGTCATGTGTAATGGGGAGCTGCCTGAGTGTTTCCTTTTGGGTCACTCTGGGTATCGATGCCCGCTGTTTGTTCAGACTATCTTTGTTAAATAAACCTTGGCCTAATTATTCTGTTGGTAATTGCACTGGTTTGGGAACATCTAAAATAATCAGAGGTTGGAAGAAGGGCTGGAAAAATAAATTCAAGAATAAGTGATTTGGTTCTGAAAGGTCTGAATAAGTTAAATTAAGTATTGAATCTTTTTTTGGGAAGCTTGATTTCCAGACGTGGTTGTAATTTGGCTCCTACAGCCGGAGCAGAGGGGTCAGGCAAGTTAGCTAGGGACTGGCAACAGCCCAGGAGGGAAAACTGGCAAGAGCAGGGAGTTTCTGTGTCGGTGTTTGATTTGAGCTGTGTCTCCGTTGCACTGCCACGCAGCAGGGCAGGCTTCCCTGCTCCATGGTCACCACACCTGGAAGCGGGAGGAGATTTCAGCTGCAAGAGGATGGAACTGCTGCTCCATGGTTGCTTGCAGGGAGGCTGGAGGTGCAGCAGCTCCTTTTGGTGGGGAGGGAGATGAGTCTGAGCTGAGCGCTTCAGGCTGTGCAAGCTGCAGCCTCAGGTGGCATCTGTCACCCAAGCCATGATGAAGAGGAGGAGCAGGGAAGCCCTTGGAGGGCCTTCCTCTCCTGGTTTGGTTTTCCCAATCGTTCCCCGAGGAGGTGGCTCCGCAGGGGAGTAGAAGTGAGCTTTGCCTTGCAGATAAGGAGCGCTGTGTGGAGCTGAAGAAGGCCTTGTGCACCGCTCATGAGAAGTTCTGCTTCTGGCCGGACAGCCCCTGCCCAGGTTGGTGCCTGAGAGCCTGGCTCATGCACGTGTCCAGGATCATAGTCCTCTTTTTTTTTTTTTTTTTTCCCATGAGAATGCTGGAATATGCAGAGGCAGAGCAATGTCTGTGAACAGCCTCAGCAAACAAACTACTGAGCCATCTGGAGCCCCAGGTCTTGAGTCCCAGCCTCTCTTAACCTTTGCATGCCTCCAGAGCAGTTAAAATGCTCTTCAGACTGTAACTGGGAAGAGATGGGGAAGGCTGGATGACACAGGACATTCAAAGGGTGATCTTGTCTTCAAAGCTGCATGGCATGAGGCAGGGTGGTTGTAAAGGAAGAAGACTGCTTATCTTTCCTTTTAAAAGCCAGGAGACCATTATGGGGAGAACTTGGCTGGTCTCATCTTTTCTTTTGCCCTGTGGGATAAGGAGGGGGTGGGAAGGCAGGTGGCACAGCTCAGGCCTCCTGCGTTTGTTTTCACCAGATCGCTTTGCCATGTTGCTGGTGGATGAGCCCAGAGCCCTTCTCCAGGACTTCCTGGACCGCTTTCAGAGCCTGTGTCAGCTGGAGCTGCAGCTGCCCTCCCTCAGACCAGAAGACATGAAAAATATGGTGAGTTCCCAGGAGCCCCTGAGACTGGGGGAGTTCAAGGTCACAGTGATGATGCCAGGGACACCTGTGCTGTGCAAACCCTGACCGAAGCAGTTGCGAAATTCCAACTGGAGACTCCAGCTTGCCAGGTAGGCAAAGCTCAGCCCTGCCTGCGTGTGTGAGTGGTCTGTCATCGCCTTGGCTTTCTCCTCGGACGTTCCCCGTGCGGTGGTTTCACCTGGTGTTTTTGGAAACATGTAAAAGGGAGTTTAGAAAGGCTCATCTGCCGCGCAAGCCCTTGACCAACGCAGGCACAGCTGGCTCATGTTACCAGGACGTTGCCAGTGGGAAGTGGGTTGTAGTGTCCAATTCCCACTCCTGGGATGCGTCGTGCTCTCTGGTGCGCAGCAGAAGTGTCTTGGTGTCTCGCAGACTCCTTCAGGACCTTCCCTGGCAGCTCCCACCCCTGTTTGTTACCTCCAAGGGCTCTGTGAGATGCAGCAGCCCACAAATTGCTCCTCTAGCAAGTGGCTGGGATCCCACTGGAGGAAGTCATTGCTTTAGATGGGATCAGGAATTTTCGGGGCCAGAGGCTGCCCTGGAGCAGAGGTGTGGGCAGAAGCCTGCGAAGATAAGGGAGCCCAGGGAGCACGGTATAGGAGGGCCTCTTGTGCGAGGCAGTCGTGTGAGGAGGCTCGGCAGGCAGGAGGGAAGAGCAGGAGCTACTGCAGGAGAGTGGAGCGTAGCTGCAGCCAGGAGCAAGTGTGGGATTGCCTCCTCGTAGGGACCTGGCCCGGCCCTGCTATACTCCAGCCAAGTCTGGCTTGTTGGGCACTCGTTCGCTGGGAAACAGATGGCTCTCGGCAGCGAGAAGCCCTGTGGAAACTGGGGAGCTCTTCATCCATTCAGCAGAAATCGCAGAGGTGTTCTGTGGTTGCCACCGTGGGCTGGCTGAGCTGTGAAAGCCAGCAGACACACACCCCGCACACCCCGAGAAGAGACAGCATAAAGCCAAGAGATACATCCCATCTCCACATCTGACTCCCCAGCTGTCCCAGTAGCAGCAAGGTCTGGAGGCCATCTGACAGCCCTCAGGGACTCTCTTGACTCGCTGTGTCTCAGCAGTGGTCCCAGAAGTGCTCACGGTTTGCCTGAGTGCAGGCAAACAGGCCC